GGAAATGATAACAATGATACTAAAATGTTTCACATTACATATTGTTATTCGATCAACTGTTACATTTAAACATTGAATGGAGCAGCTTCAGTGATGATAAGGAAGGGGATTCTTCTTTTCCATCAGAAACGTATTACTTTCTTTTTAGTGAGGGGTGCCATTTGTTCGTGCTGCTCTACAAAAACATTTTATTTAGCTTTCCAAATAGTATACTTGAGAAAGACTGGCTGAAAATAGTATTTTATCTGCGGTTTGAAACACAAGGCCAGCACAATATTAAATAGAGGTAAGGTAAGGTATATGATATTTTCCATATAAAGTCTGATGCAAGCCCCTATAGAAGTGTTGCAGCAGTTTTGATTGGGGGTCGGTTTAACGGCACACCATGCCTTTTCATGAATTATTCTTTTGTGTTATCATGGACTCACTGACCCTGGTTGAACCTTAATACCCCTAATTTGCTCTGTTTTGAAACCTCTGCCTGTCCCTGCATCCACCATTCCCTCTGTGTCCATTTTTTCTCTGTCCGTCTGCCTCACGGCCAGAAAACAGAGGGCAAAGACCATCATAGAGGCCTTCAAAGACATCTGAGCAATTTCAATTCCCAAAAGTGTTCTTCTCCTCACCCCTCTCAATATATATTCCCTTTTCCTCTGTACCGTTTACAGCGCTTTCCTCTCTCTGTGTTTGTCTCTACATCTTCTCTGCATTTGTATATTTTTGCTATCTGTCTTTTTTCCACTATATTTATGTCTTGCTCCTTTGTTCCCTTTACTACATGTTATCGCTCTGTCTCTCTCTTCTGAACCTCTGGCACACCTGGCTGGCTGCGGAGAGGCTGACTCTTTAAAGACATTGGCTTTAGCTTCTGCTGCTAGTGGAATATCAATATATGCTGCACACACACATGCTCACCCCCTCACATATACCAACATATAGCAAACTCAAAGGGCAAACACATATCTCCATCCCCACAGCACTAACCCCCACAGTGTAGGTGACTCTATTAGAGTAGACATAATGGCAGGCTGTATTTTCCGTGTGGCACAGCAGGCTGAATGACCGCCATACCATCAAGAGAGGAACATTGGGAGAGCTACAGTGGAGGGTACAATGTTTTTCCCTTTCCACCTCTCCACTTTTTGTTTCTACAAAGCACCTTTTTTCTTTCTCAAAAAAACATGTCCTGCGTGTGTTGGTTACATCAGAAGAATTTTAAGCAGCTAACTGTAAGCCCTTTAAGACCTCATCCATGCTTGGGCCTGTGTGAATGTGTACACACACACACACACACACACACACACACACACACACACACACACACACACACACACACACATTTCACTATCTCTTTGTCTCTGTATAGGCTTCTCCTCAAACCTCCATCTCTCCCCCCCCCCGCTCTTTGTTGATTTACGTGTGGACGTCTCTCCATCAAAGCCAGATGTATCTCAGCGTTGCCTGGCATTGATCTCTTGCACTTGGGAGTATTACCCAACGGCAGACTGATTCAAGAGGTTATCACATTATTCTCACTGTCTGTTTCAATTGATACTGTGTCAGAGTAAATAGCCATTTCAGATTTCACATCAGAGGTGCAATGTTTAGATGAGCAGATAAATAGCTTTGTTTTCTTTCTGTGTATTTTTAGAAAATAGCATTTTTGGGCTCACCTAAAAATAGCTTAAAAAATAGGAAACCAATTCTCATCTTAGCAGAGTACGCGTCTGTTTTGTTTACAGACTGACTGCGAGTTTAGCCTTGAGAGCTTCTTAGAAGTCACAGGGAAAAAAAGTGCTTGAAATTTGCATAACGTTGGCCTGACACCTAGTGGATACAATAATGTTGTTCTGAAAGGGGAATCAGCAAAACAGACCCTAACAATTAGATTGGGTCTCTCATAACCATCTTTTATTTCTCAAAATCAACAATACCTCACATGTTTCAGCTGCCATATGACACCAGAATGTTGTGTCTGTGCACTATTTCTATTCATTAGTAAGAAGTCAAACCACTTACAACGTACAAATGATTGTCAAAGAAAATCAACATTCATAAACAGATGAGCTGTATAAGGAAATGCCAGCAAGTTATAATCTTTAAGGTTCTTATCAAACCACACTACTATACTACCGGGGTCCCCTTAAAAGCCAAATACAAGAACAAGAATATTCAGGATCAAAACTTTAAGGGCTATACAAGACCCGATGGGGTCATTAATGGCTCAATGCTTTATAAAGCTTAATAATGACCTTGTATAGCTCAGATAACCAACTATTCCCATTGGCACTGTAAGAATCATTATGTATTTATTTTTCACAGATCCAAGTGCTGGCTATAGTCCTTTTTGACTCTGCTGTGGAAGCGAGGCTTGTTTTGACTGAAAGTCTCAGCAAACTTAGTCAAGTGCAGAGTGGGTGCCCCCGGGGGCCAAGGCGAGTTATCTAAACCAACAAGACAAAGTGACAAACTACTAAAGTTCAGACCAAACCAAGAAGAAAGGCAGTCAGGAAGAAACTTACAATTGAGTAATAGAAACAGGTACCATCCTCATTTAAACAGAAAAGCCAGGTTATTGTGCTGGCTTTTAACTCTTCCCTGGTGGAAAAGCAAGTAGCAATGATGCAAAGGGCTTCATTCACTTCCACAATGAGGCAATAAAAAAGGCCTTAATTGAACAAACAGAGATGAAAGGAAATCATTACCAATATAGGGATGGGTGCTCTCCTTTTCCCTAGGTTGTCTTTAGCCTATCACAGAACAGTGAAATGAATACTGACAAATTGTAAAAAATAAATAAAGAGCTCCACATCCAAGACAAAATAAGTCAGAGTATATAAAAGAGAACAATTCAAATGAAGTTAAGCACAGCACAGGAAGTAAACTCAATGTGAACTCACTGTCCATGTTGCTTTCAAATTGTCTTTTATTTGACCATGGAGAGCAGTCTGTCCTTATACACACACACACACACACACACACACACACACACACACACACACACACACACACACACACACACACACACACACACACACACACACACACACACACACACACACACACACACACACACACACACACACACACACACACACACACACACACACACACACACACACACTATACTAATCAGTGGGATCTAAATCCCCAGGGTATCGGCTCTATTAGACCATGTGCTTATGAGAAGATAATCATTTGGTGATATGAAGATACAGACGGGTAGCGACAGTAACGCTGCTGCATGTAAATGCTCTGCTGCACACTGTGTGCCAGTGCCTTAACTTTTAATATAAGTTGTTGCCTAAAGGCAGACATTAATGAGTCCTTCCTGCCAAGGTGAGGGAACAGAGATAGCAGACAATGTGCTTAACTTTAAAGGATGCAATCAAGGCTTTGAATATGAGAGTGTGTGTTATAAAATAAATGACACTGCTGTCCTCTGGGCAAACAAGTTAACTGTTTGCCCTCCAATATGCAGATCGATGAGATAGTTTGAATGTCAATATCACACATGAAGGGTTTATACAACAGGAGGTCCTCATTTTAAGTAAACAGAACAACTTACTACCTTACAATTTAGCCTGTTTAGTGTGTATCTAACCTTTAAACTGTCAAACTCAATTTCATCGCGGGCTACATTAGCATTATGATTGCACTCAAAGGGCCGGTTGTAACTTTAAGACTATAAATATACATATATAAATATATAATATATATTAAATAATGTATTATATAAAATGATTGGCTCTGCATTGGATTATTATCAGTTCTGGTAATAACTTCATAAAAAACTAAGTCTGAAAGCAGAAGTCTAGGGCAAATAATTCATAGCAAATATTCAACAATTACACCAATTGTATCTCATATTATATTCTTTGCAAGCTTTTTGGGGCCACAAAAAATGAGGTCCCGGGCCGGGTTTGGCCCGCTGGCCTTGAGTTTGACACCCCTGCTTTAAACAAACCACTGACCACACACTAAACTGGCAGGGAGTACAAAAGAAAAGGAACCAGGTTTTGCCAAACTGACCTTTTGTGGACTGAACACTAGATGGTGCTATTTGTTTTTGACTGCTTGTGACTTATGGTTACCGTGTCACATGTGGAGTTATTGTGGTGCACTTACAACGTTCTCTTAAATGTAATCCTCATGCATGCCATTTGGTAATTTCTGGGTTGTATTGCATGTGTGTGCTGCAGTGTAGCCCTCAAACAACAACATGATGAGCTGTCCACATAGAAGCACAAGTCATTTATGGTCTAAGCTGTGTTGTGCAATCGACATTAAAGTCTAGTGATCGTTGAATATAAGGGAGCTATTTATGTCTGATTTGAAACTCTGTAAACAAGTCTGAGTACAAGAAAAACATGTCACACTTTGTGATGATTGAAAATGCACTGTGTTTGTGTATCATTTTAATGTGCCTTTATTAAACGATCCAGAGTATTTGAGTATTCTCCAGCTTAAACGAACTGGCAATGGTTTGCACTTGAAAATGTGTTTAAGTAAAAATAAATATTCAGTTGCAGGACGTATGAAAAAAACCCCAGAAAAGTACAAAGAAAGGACACACCAGCAGCTGTTGTTGTTGTTGTTGCTTAAAGTACATTTCTTTATGCTCAACGGATCAACAACAACAATGTTTTCTTAGACATATTCACTGCGCTCATGGGGACTTTGTTGTGATGTCAATGGTCATGGGCAGTAAGTCATGTGGTGGCTACCTCTATGTTTATGTTTCTTCTGCAGTAAATTAATCCTGTTAAAAATGTTTTAGAGATATAGAGATAGGGGGAAAGAAACTGAGATAAATAGACAGAAGGATTAGTGCGGGAGTCAGACATATACTGAGAAAACATGTGAGTCTGCAACCGTGTTTCCAAAGAACGGATATATTTTTAGGGGAGGAATGTGGCCTCGTGGAAAGGATCATAACAAACAACCGTTACGCAGTACGCTCCTACAAAGAGACAGCCCCCTTTGGATCATACAGACACACAGCAACAACACGGGAGCAAGGGGAAGAAGTATACAGGAAAATGTCAAGGCATCTGATATTCTGCTGAGATCTTGCACAGTGGGACACTCAGAAAACAATAAAGAGAGAAGAAGAACAGGTAAGAGATGTAAGACTTCATTACCTGCCAGGAGCTTGAATGTGTTTTCTTTGTTATGTGATTTTGGCATTTCTCTGAATAAATGTTATGTACATCAAAAAAAGGTTTATTTAAACTTAATTCACATTTGAAGGTACCATTTTATGTGTGTATAATCATCTGTTCAAAATGATAGTTTGGATTATGTTGCTTATAAATGGTTACTCCTACATTTATGCACATTTTTACATTTTGCATTCATTATATTTATAACGAGTGTGACAAAGGGAACATCCAGTTTCAAAGCCAAAATAAAAAACATTTTAAAATCATTTTCCAGGCTTCCTTGAAGCATCACATGATGTTTAATGACAATCCTGCAACATAAATAGTTTTTGGGGGGGGCTACGGCCATAATCTACTTTGACAATTAGTCTCCAATAGAATCAGACTGGCGACCTGTAGGCCCTATTTGCAAAAAGACTATTTTCTGAATGCAGCAGCACTGCATTTTGCACATCTACCCAAAGGCATTAAATAACTATGTATTTAGAGTTTCCCATAAATATTTGCAGGCTAAATGTTGGTTTATGACGCAGGACTGTATTCAATCCAATTCCACTAGCCTTGCTCTGTGGTTTGTTAAACGACCTGTCATTTAGGGGGGATTAAAATCATTGAAGGCAATAATCAATTCTAAAATGTATTTCAAAGTTGTGACCTTTTTCTGGAAATATTTGTATTGCTGCATTAAAATGTAATCCTAAATAAAAATCGAATCCAGTGATTATCATTTTACCCAACATTAAAGTCACGCAACAATTTATTTATCTGATGGTTGATATTCATCCTTTCAACAGCAAGCCCTCAAATTACTTCTTAGCGAGTAAACATTTGACAAACATTCTAGAATTAGAATTTGTGTTAACGAATGTGACATAAAAAGCCTGAAAATCAACTGATTTGATAATAACAACATGTTTTTTCTCCACAGCATGGACCGACCAGCAGTCAAGGTCTTCCACTACAAAGACAAGGAGCAGTCGTCCAACCTGCTCCTGCAGCTCAACAGACTGAGGCAGGACAACGTCCTGACCGATGTGTCTCTGAGTTCAGATCATGTAGAGATCCCATGTCATCGTAACGTCCTGGCCTCCAGCAGCCCCTACTTCACGGCCATGTTCTGCCACAACTTCAAAGAGAGACAGCAGACCAAGATTGAATTGAAGGGCGTCGCATCAACCATCCTGAGCAGTATCGTTGACTATGTTTACACAGGACTCATTAGTATCAGCATCGATATTGTGCTGCCCCTGATGCAAGCGGCATCCATGTTGCAATATGGCCGCCTTTTTGAGGCTTGCTCGAGCTTCCTTCAGGAGCAACTGAGTCCTGACAACTGTTTTGAGCATGATAAGACTCTCTGACATCTTGAATTGTAACAGTTTGAGAGACAAAGCAAAGGAGATGGCCATGAAAAGCTTCTCAGATGTGTCAGTATCTGAGGATCTGTGTGAGCTCTCCTTACCAGAGCTCATGGGATACCTTGAGGATGACGGCCTTTGTGCAGAGGAAGAGCAGGTCTTTGAGACACTTGTTTCTTGGATCCATCATGATCCTTTATCCAGGCGTGGTGCCATCAGTGACCTTTTCAAGAAGGTTCGCCTTCGCCACATCCATCCCACATACCTCTTCCAATTCATAGCCAACGACCCCCTGATCCAGTCCTCTAGCCTCTGCACCGAGCTCATAGAATCTGTGAGACGCCTGATGTTTTCTGTCAGTTCAAAATGCATTGGGGACACAGATTTCAAACCTCTCTGGGTGGCACCGAGGCGCTATTCCTACCATGACATCATGGTGGTGGTAGGAGGGAGGAAGAACAGTGAGCAAACCTCGAGGGAGGCACTCGTCTTTGATGAGAAGAGCGAGAAATGGGAGTTCCTCACCAAGCTGCCCATTCGTCTGTACAAAGCATCCTATGTGGCCCTCCACAGTGTCTTGTATGTTATTGGAGGTCTAACCATGGAAACAAAGTCCAGTCAAGCCAGTACATCCGTCTACACCCTTTCCCTCAAGACCAACCAGTGGCGGACGGTAGAGCCCATGCTGGAGCCGCGATTTGCCCACCAGAGTGTCTCCTACCTCCACTTCATCTTTGTCCTGGGCGGCCTTGGGCCTGACAGTCGACTGACAGGCAGTGTGGAGAGGTGAGGTGGACCATAATTTAGAGTTATTCCGATACTTGATTTGAGTCATTCTTCCAATACAGCCTAGAATGCTGGATCAGGTATCGGCAAGTCTGTGCACTGATCCAATATCAATGGTTATTGCAAGTTCAGGTTTTGTGACATCTTAACCATAATTATGCTCTAACAAAAACTAAACTAAATGTCTCAAT